CACTGAGACTATGGCCCCTAGCTGCCCTTCAGGTCTGGAATTGAACCCACACCTCTGGTTTCCAGCCAAAGAAAAGACAGGCAGATGAGCTGAACATTTACCTCAAGTAGATACTCTCCTTGGAGAAAACAATCATGGGAGAAAGAAAGGCTGCTTATGCACAGGGAGACAGCTCAGGGGGCAGGAGTGTATGCAGGGATGGACAGAGGGAAGAGGTAACCATGAGGAGGAAGTGGGAGGAGAGCTGTTGCATTATGGTAAACTGTGGTCAATGTCAGGAGATAAATATGTGAACTGCTGTATGGAAAGTGAATTTGCTCTGTAAATCTCTACCCAAATCACAATTAAAAAAAAAAAAGAAAGAAATATGAAAATAGTACAAACCATATTCACCAAAACAAAAAAAACAAACTTACTGCCGTTCAGTCAAAAGTGATTCAAAGTGACCTCCTTGGGTTTCCAAGGCAGTGTCTCTACAGAAGTAGATTACCCAGTCTTCCTTCCAAGGAGTGGCTGGTGGGTTTGAACCGCCAGCCTCCTGATTAGCAGTCAGATACTTTAGGCTGTACACCACCACAGCTCACAAACCATATTCATGGAACAAAATAATACCGTACTGATTTTCAGTGAATTTTATCTTGAACCAGTTATCGGTAAAAAAGAATGTCTTACAAGAAATGGTTTTCTTAATTTCCAGATTAACATCAGCAACTTAAGGAAAGCAAAATGTACTCACATCAGGCTGGAGTCTTTTTGCTCGTCGACTGTGACTGCTGATCTTTGAAGGCTGCACAGACTGTCGAAGGGGTATTCCATGGGGTTTGTATTCCTTGTCTTTTTCTTCACTGTCAAATGGGTGTGTGTTACTATACTGGGGATAGGAGAAAATATAAGAACAGGAATTGAGTTACACTCACAATCAGCAAATGACTATGCTTTGTCCTCTTAACCTTCTGGCAACTAAAGCTAAATTGCACAAATACATCCTTCTTATTCTTCTTGATTGACAGAAGCATTATTTTGTGTATACCCCCATGTTGTCTTATGTATAAGCAGTAGAGTGAAGAATACCATCTCTGGAACAAAACTACCTAGGTCTGAACCCTTTCTATCTGTGCGCATCGTGGTTATGTACTGGGCCTCTTATTGGCTCTAATTTCCTTCTCTGAAAAAGGCGTGATAAAAATAAAAATCTAAAAATATTAGGTTGATCAACTGAAATGTGTTTATACACACATACATACATAAATACAGCTTTAAGTGTTTAAAACAGTGTTGACTGCTAACCAGAAGATCAGTACTTCAAACTGACCAGCTACTCTGGAAGGAAGATGGGACACACTTCTTCCATAAAGATTTACAGTCTTGGAAACCCAATCACTATGAGTCAGAAACGACTCAATGGCAGTGAGTAGTAAAGTAGTAGCTTTGCATATATTAAAATCTAAAAATTTATTTAAAACACCCAAGCAAATCAGTCCTTACTCCTTAAGTTAAACCAGGTAATAGTACACTTGCCCTCCAAATTCCTTTATCTGAGCAACCCCAGGAATCCTGATAATTTCATAAATTGTATTTTTCTTTTTTCATAAAATGAGAATTACTATTCAGTAATTTCCAGTCTATGATCTTGCCCATAAAAATCTCAACCTTCTAAAACAATGGGAAATGCACCCCAGTTCTCATCACACAAACAGGATGTGAAAATATTTTCCAGGGTCCATTTCCATAACTCCTGACACTACCAGTGAACTTAAGACTGTCCAAAGCAACTAGAAAGCCCCATCCAGAAAGGAAAAGAGAAAAATTACATAAGGCCCCAAACCAGCTAAGTGCCCTCACCACAAGATTGGCTCCAGACTGAAACATTTCATAGGGGTAAATGATGCGTTCATAGTGAGATCGCAGCAGGGAGCCAATGTTTTTGCCTGGTGGGTAACTGAGGCGCTGGGCAACTCGAGCCCACCGACGATCCTTGCAGATGGCTTCATAGCCACCTTCCTCCATCACAATCTGAAAAGGCAAGAAAGGGCATGGATAAACTGAAGAAGGTGGTTTGAACAGACATTCAGGAAAGGCCTAAAAAATAACAATGATGCTAAAATACGGAGGACTGAACCTTCTTGACACCAACCTTTCTCCAGCTCTCAGACTGTGGCAAAAAAAATGTTGCTATACTGTACTTTCTTTCCTTCTGGCCCAGAGACATAACGTTCAATCACAGGGACTCCCCAAACCAAGGTTTTGTTTGTTTTTCCTTTTTAAGGGGATTATTCTTACCTTACTAAGGCTGTAGAGGTCTAAGATCCTCCGTTCCACATTGGGAATCTTTAAAGAAGAGCCTTGGATTTCCCAGAATTTCGCAATCTGGTCCAGATAGTTCAGTTTCACTCTTGTCTGGGCCTAGAGAAGAAAAGCCCTTATGACACTGGCTTACTCCGCACCCTGATTTTGGCCTAGTGTGATAAACAAATACTGTTCTATAGTATCTACAGTATTCTACCAACAAGCTAGAGACCAACCTTCACTGCCTTATCATCATGAAGCACAAAGAAGGTGTGATGGTCAAGATTATGTGACAACTTGGCTGGGCCTGGTTTTGAGAGGCAGGGTAGTTAGCTGTAGTTATTTCACATAATGAGAGTCGCAAATACTTCCATGTTGGAATCTGCTATGAGCAGGAAAGTAGCTGGTATAGGAATGTGTCTCCTTCCAGTATATAAAGAGCAGCTTTGGGAATGGTCTCCAGATTTTTGGCATGGTTGGACCCTGCATGTAGCTGAGTCTTCACTCATCAGCCCACCTTATTTTCTGCTGATTTTGGAACTTTGTCTACACTTGAACTACTGGACTGCCGTGTTGTTTGATAATACTACATCTGTGCCTTTTCACTTGTCAACTTGGGTTTGTCAGGCTCAGCATCCTTTAGCTGCCTGAGTTAAGAGAAGTCTCCAGTTTCAGTGGGCTGGGAGTAAGAGGCAGAGCTGAACCCCAAGGTCAAGGGGCTTTTAGCCAGCCCCTAAAGCGGGCACTCTGAACTCACTCTTAAAGCCTCCAAAATCATATGAGAACAAACTCCTTTTTGTTCAAGCCATCAATTTGTGGTACTCTTGTGAGAGCCAGCACTAGAGGCAACCAAAGCAGAGGATGAGTCTTAAATCCAGGAATTTTGAAGGTAATCCCTAACAATTATAATCCTTTATTGTAGAGTTCCAGGAACATAGTGCAATAGGTAGATAAGCTACATAGACTCTCTACAAGAATACAATGAGAAACCAATTGAAACTAATACAGATGATGATCCTGGAATCCTGAGCTTTGAAAGGAAGGATTAAGTAGATTAAACACCAAACACTGTAAGAAGCTGAATGAAAAAGGTGAGTAAAGGGAAAAATGGAGCTATAGAGTATAAGCTGTTGTGATAGTTGGAGCTGTGTGCCAACTTGGTTGGACCCCAATTCTCTGTGGTTGTTCCCATGATGGGATCGGATGACTGTGCTCTGAGTGACCAATCTGCCCAAGGGGAGTTTCCCTAGGGGTGTGGCCTGCTTCCAAGATATCCAGGGAAGAGACACATTCTTTGAGGGATTGGGACCCTAGTGTGCTGACTACAACCTTCCGTGAGTGAGCATCCCACCGCTCAGCCTGGAGATCTTGGATTCGTCTTTTGTTGGAGTCAACAACCAGTGTACTGCCCGCCAGCCTTGAATTTCTCGGCCCCCTGTCCATGTGGAAGCTAAGGCTGTCGCCAGTCCGACGTTTCCTCCAGGGACTGTGGACTTGCCGGCTTCTATACATTTGTGAGCCATTTTCCTAAGATAAATTTTTTTTTTTTCCTCTCTCTCTATATATACGCTTTGCTGGTTTTGTGTTTCTCTAGAGAACCCAATCTAACACAGCTGTCCTGAGGGCTCAGCCATTTTGAAAATATGCAAGTGGTATCCACTTGCTGAGGACAGCAGGGGCAATCGCACTGGAGGGTGATGACTGGAAAGGTCTGATACTTATATCCCACACCCACTTGGTGAACAAAGGTGTGGCCAACCTCTACCTCTACTCACCTTCTTGACCAGCAGGAATTCCATTCCACTCTATACCCTGACAGAATCTCGATGCTGAGGCCCATCTCCCATAGTTTCATTTTTGTTGGTTTATAAATTATTCTTTCTACCTTCTTTCTTTCTTCATTTTCTTCTTCCACTTCCCTGGTTCTTATGCTGGGTTTTTCTTTTTTTCCTTCCCTTTCCCTGGCTCATTTATTTCTTTTTTCTTTATTTCTTTTGGTTATTCCTATTGCTTGTTTTCCCTCTTGCAGTGTTCCCATTTTTTCTCTACTATTCTTTTATGCTGTGGTGGAGCTCTGGTGGTACAGTGCCTAAGGCATTTGACTGCTAACCAAAAGACTGACAGATCAAACCCACCAGCAACTCCTTAGAAAGAAAGTTGGGCAATCTATTTCCATAGTGACAGCACCTCAGAATCCCAAGGAGGGGTCAGTATGAGTCAGATCTGACTCAATGTCAGTAAATTTATTCTTTTATGCTTACTATCTTCTCTTATTACCTTCTCCTCAGATGGCACAGTGCCTAAGGGATTTGACTGCAAACCAGAAGGCTGGTGGGTGGTTCAAATGCACCAACACTCCTCAAAAGGAAGACTGGGCAATCTACTTCCATAGAGATACTGCCTCGGAAACCAAAGGAGGGGTTGCTATGAGTCATAACTGACCCAAAGGCAGTGAGTTTGAGTTTTGAGTTTTTGTAAGATATCATGGCTGGTTCCCCACCCCCTGCCATTACCTTTCGTCTTTTTTAAATATATTTTTAAATTTTTTCTTCTCATTTATTGCTTTTTTTTTCTTTTGTGATTGTTCGCATTTGTTTATGT